CCCCAAAACCCCAAAACCCCAAAACCCCTGCATCATAATAATCTCCAAATTCTTGAAATATAATTAAATATCAGTGTTTTATGTATTTTTTCTCTACTCTTGCAATGCTTGATGCATCTAGTATATCACTCTTGTCATCGTCAGAATCTTAATTAGTTTTAGCGTTCTTACTAATCTTTACAGAAGGTTTATACTTCTTAGCGAATTCCTTATCGTCATCGCTATCCATATCATCGTCATCATCACTTAAGTTATTAGATAATACGTCCTCATCATCATCGTCTTCATCATCTGCAGCGTATTGAATCTTAGGCAAGTCCATAGTCCAATCAGTCTTGCCCTGTCTATCATTCCTCAACTAAACAATAATCTTTTGTCTTTCCTTTTCCTCTTCACTCTCATCATCATCTTCGTTTTCTGATTCAACTATCTTTTTCTTTCTGCTACTCTCCTCTTCATGCCTGGGCTATTCTTTGATTATTGAAGTATTTCCCTGCTTGATGTTGTCAGTAGTTGGCTTACGCTTGAATATGGCTTGCTCAATCTTTTTGAAACTGTAGGGATTATAGGTATGATCAACTCCATTCTCATCATCACTATCACTGTCCCTGCTTCTAGATGACGAGCTAGAAGACTTAGAGGAGTTCTTAACTTGCTTATTCACATTATTAAGAACATTTCTCGAAGCTTTAGGTCTAGTTGCTGCTAGCTGATCCTCATATTAATTCTTAAGATTGGTCTTGATAGCATTCAACTCATTACCTGTTGCATTGCTCATCATTGACGATTATGACCTTCTAAGTTTCTAATTTGAGCCTGACAGTTCTTTGGAGATTTCACTCAAGGTATTCAGCTAAGCTTCTGCTTCTTAAAGATTTTGCAGGAAATTATTGTTATTTAAATGCTAATGAGTGCTTTGTCGAGGAATCTCAATTTAATGCTATTGTTTCGTTTTTCTTTAATTCCTACTTCTCTTCTCGCCCATAGATCTATCAGGCAATGGTATTTCCTAATCTTCAATCAGACTATTATCACTGTTCCTTCTCTGCTTAGCTTCCTCCTCTTCTTGACTCTAATGAATAATCTACTGGTTAAATTACTAATGATCAAATCTTCCCAGAGTCTCAATCTGTCCTAGCTCATATCTTTATTAATAAGTTAATTAGTTGCTCTGGAACTGACTATGGATACTTTACTGCAAAGGAAATTCAGCTGTTGGTTGACTTATGAGCATCATGTTTTACCCTTCTGAGGCATATTAATCCTAAACAGCGTTTGAGTATGAGACACTCGAGTACTAAGATTGGGGAGGAGGATTCACTTAGAAATTATTGGTGTTTTATTGCTAATTGGCAGATATGGAATTATGATTTGAGTGGCTCACTTATGTTTGATAAGCAGTTGTAGTTTGTGAATATTACTACTGCTAGTTATTAATATGAATCTACTATTACTAAATTATTAGGGTTAGGTTCTATACTTGCTGGTTGAGAAGGACCATTTATTGACTGAGATGATTAATATGGTTCTATTAATCGATGAATATCTACAATGATCTTGGAGATGAGTGAATTTATTCATATCCTGGAATATTATGCTATTCAAATGAGTTTCTTATTGGTGCATCCAAATTGAGCATTTCTTGCTTCTATAAGAGTTGGTTTTTATTTGATCTTGATCTTGAACTCTTTTGAGATGATTATAGAAGCTATTAAATTTATAATTCCTTGGATGTCCTAAGATCATCAGATTGCTTATTCAAATATTCAAGGTTATTCTTTGTTAGCTAGATTTATTATGATAATTTTAATTCCTTCGCTTACTCTTACTAGTTATTTAATCTTTTCTTGCTCTGGCTGTTTCTTGATCTGTTAGGATTTGAAGAGGAATTAAGTGAAGTGTTATTTCCACTGTTCTTTTCATTGCTTTAATCATTACACTGCAATCTAATACTGTCTTTAAGAAAAGGAGCCATATTAAACTTCGCAGGCTTAGGCACTTCAAATTAATCTTAATCATCTGCATCCAAGGTGACATATTAGCTAACTTTCTAATTTTAAGTACTTGGTATAATGTCTCTTTCAGTTCTAGATTGAATTTTCCCTTTAGATAAAGGATTTGCCGATGAGATCTACCTTCTATGCTATTTGACTTCATTTTCTCTCATATTCTTATCAACTCTCTCTACTTAAATATCCTTCTGGGGTTTAAACTCTGAGGTTTTTCTTTTTATGTAATCAGAAATGGTGAAGCACCTTTGTTCATTGAGATTGCTCATAGTAAAAGATTTGAACTAAAGTTAAGTTTCTCTATTGATTTTTTGATTTTGTGAAATAATTTTCCATAAATCCCCCTAAGCTTAGACTTGGTAAAATTATGGATATTATTTCTGATTGAAGCCAACTATTATAAAGGCTGTTTACTTCTTTGATATAGACAATTTTCCCTTATCCTTGAAATTTCTGCAAAACACAAATCTTGCACAAGCAGCCCAAACATACTAGCAATTTATATCAGAGATGCCATAGAACCAGAGTCCAACTATTGAAGAGTTGAAAGACTCAGGGTCATTTGGCATGAGAGGGTATATTCTTTTATCTTAATCAATACTCACAAACCCAGAATACATTAGACCAGCTTCTCTGAAATTTGATTGTATTTTTTATTTATCATCAGCCGAATTTCTGCCAAGTAGCATTCTGCTGAGTGGAGTTGAAATAATCGTAACTTTAGGCACCTTAATAAAGTTAAATGCTAAGTCTGGGACTATCAAATGGCAATTTATGATGAGTTTTTATCTTGCTTAGTCACAGTCAATTGTGAATAGCACTCTCATAAAGTCGAGGACTGTAATGTTTTACGAGTCTGCTTCAAAGTTAAATTTATTCATGTGTATGTTCTGCTAATTTGGATTCTCATTGTCTAGAGCCTGAGAAAGCTAAGCCTAGTAGAACTTGTCAGACATATTGGCATTTTTGAGTTTCTTGACAATGTCAGCAAAAGTGGAAAGCAATACTTGATTATTGACATACTTACTCTTCTCTTCACTATTAATCAGCTAGCAATAGTATCTTAAACTATACTTAGAGATGTTAGATCCTTCCATTCTATTGATTGAATATTATTGTTAGAGTTTCTTACTTTTTAAAATAAGCAGAACTTTGTGAGAAGTTTTCAATATTAATCTTAAATTCTTGAGAAGGTGCAGTGTAGTCATACTTAGTTTCAAAATACCCTTCTAATTTATCCTGTTTGGAGTCCTTAATCTAGGCTTATAGGCACATAGTCCAAATTTGAGAAAGCACTCTCTAATCTAGAGTAATGAGTGATTATTGATTAAAGAGGAATGATTCTGTTAAACTCAGTCTGCTTTGAATTTAACCTGCTTGATTAAAATCCTAAAATATGGAAATTTAAATTTGTTATTTATCTTACTTATTCAGGATTAAATAGACTAATCCCTTGCTTCTAGAGACTTCGGATCAAAATCTTTGAGCAAAATAACTCGAATAACTTATCTTTGGGGTTGGCAACAGATTTCCCAGCTGGTTGAATGTATTATCGCTTTGCTGTTTCCTTATCCTTATTATTGATTTTCAAATGCTTCAGATTTTTACTATTTTCAATCATTTATCTTTTAAATTTCTTATATTTACTTTTATCTAACTATTTAGAATATGGGGTTTTGGGGTTTTGGGGTTTTGGGG